TAATTGTGAATAATCTTACTTATGAAGCCTACTTCAATTAAGGAAGCATGAGAAATTGTGCTTTTTGTCCTGGTTTAGAATATTTTGAATTCAGACACTGTGCCATGGATAATAGCCACTTTTGTTTAGTAGACCTTAACCAATGATTTTCAAAGTGCATTGTTCCTGAGGGGTAAAGCATAGTAAAAGTAAAGAGAATATAGTGTCTATAACAAATGCTGGAGACAGACTGATGGCAGGTGCCTGTGTTTCCCTCTGTATGCAGGGGAATTCGGACATGGAATCATACAGGAATATGTAGTAAGTTACTTACTGGAATTGACAAATTAAGTCAGACAAAAGTGAGTCTAAGAACTGAATAAGCTAATAAGCCAACCCAGCTCTGGGACTTTGATGAAAATACAGCAAATGAATATAGAATTTATATGTGTGTGTGTGTGTGTGTGTGTGTGAGAGAGAGAAAATGCATGATATTATATTTCTGTTCTCTCAAACATTCTGTATGTACCAGGTTAAACAATATTCCTCCAAGTGAAATAATAAGCAATATAATAATAAACAATATAATTCTGTTTAACAAAGCCTTTTATTTATTTATTTATTTATTTTTTACAGGCAGAGTGGACAGTGAGAGAGAGAGACAGAGAGAAAGGTCTTCCTTTTGCTGTTGGTTGGTTCACCCTCCAATAGCCGCCGCGGCCGGCGCATCGCACTGATCCGAAGCCAGGAGCCAGGTGCTTTTCCTGGTCTCGCATGGGGTGCAGGGCCCAAGCACTTGGGCCATCCTCCACTGCACCCCCCGGGCCACAGCAGAGAGCTGGCCTGGAAGAGGGGCAATCAGGACAGAATCCGGTGCCACGACCGGGACTAGAACCCGGTGTGCCGGCGCTGCAAGGTGGAGGATTAACCTAGTGAGCCACGGCACCGGCCAACAAAGCCTTTTAGATATACTGTACAGAAAATTAGAGAATGATTACAATAATGGAATAATAAATTCTCTTGCAAAGCAAATTCTTTTATTCAGCAAAATTAAAGAAGGCCCCAATTGAATAGTTATTGGCCAGTATATTTTTTAAATTACTTTGAGAATGAATTTTTATGTGATTTTTCACTTTAATTTAGAGATGGTTGTGTGAAATTTCATGACAATAGTCCTTCCATTGCTACTTTTTTTTTTTTACAGGCAGAGTGGACAGTGAGAGAGAGAGACAGAGAGAAAGGTCTTCCTTTTGCCATAGGTTCACCCTCCAATGGCTGCCATGGCCAGCGCGCTGTGGCCGGCGCACCACGTTGATCCGAAGGCAGGAGCTAGGTGCTTCTCCTGGTCTCCCATGGGGTGCAGGGCCCAAGCACTTGGGCCATCCTCCACTGCACCCCCCGGGCCACAGCAGAGAGCTGGCCTGGAAGAGGGGCAACCGGGACAGAATCCGGTGCCCCGACCAGGACTAGAACCTGGTGTGCCGGTGCTGCTAGGTGGAGGATTAGCCTATTGAGCTGTGGCGCCGGCCTCTACTTATTTATGAAAACATTTTCAATAATAGGTCATAATAACAAAAAGTAATAATAGAATTTAGGCTGAACATTGCTTTACTTGGAACAGCCCTTGTCTTGACTATTGAGGAACAGTTTTCATTTTATACTATTTGTTGAGCTCTTTACTTAGTATAAAGTTAATATTATGTGTATAAAGTTAATTGAAAATAGATCTTAGTAAAAAATAAGAATAGGAAAAGGAAAGGGAGGAGGAAGAAGGGCGAGAGTGTTTAATTGAAAAGTGATCTCTGTTAAATATAAGAGTGGGAATAAGTGAGGGAAGAGATGTACAGTTTGGCACATGCTCAACTGGACTTGCCCCTAATGGTAGAGTTAGAAACATACCAGGGGATTCCAATTCAATCCCATCAAAGTGGCATGTACCAATGCCATCTCACTAGTCCAAGCGATCAATTTCAGTTCTTAATTGATTATAGTGATAAGATTAAGTGTGAAAGGGATCACATAAACAAGACTAGTGTCTGCTAATACTAACTTATAGATTTAAAAAGGAGAGAAAGATGCAACATGGGAAGTGGGATACACAGCAGTCTCATAGAATGGCAGATGTCCTAAACAGCACTCTGGCCTCAGGATCAGCCCTTAAGGCATTCAGATCTGGCTAAAAAGTCCATGAGAGTATTTCAGGTATGGAAAGCCAAGACACTCTGGCAAAAACAAAACAAAACAAAACAAAACAAAACAAAACAAAACACCCTAGATGGAAGATCTCTGTGAGTGAGATTCCAGTGGAAAGAACAAGACATCAAAGAAGGAGGTACCTTCTCCGAAGGGAGGAGAGAACTTCCACTTGGACTATGGCCTTGTCTAAATAAGATTGGAGTTTGTGAACTTAAGAGGCTTCCATAGCCTTGGCAATTCATGATAAGAGCCTCGGGTGATTACTTATGCCATAAAAAAGAGTGTCAATTGTTAAATCAACAACAGGGGTCACTGTGCACTTACTCCCCATGTAGGATCTCTGTCCTTAGTGTGTTGTATTATGTGAATTAATGGTATAACTAGTACTCAAACAGTGCTTTATATTTTGTGTTTCTGTGTGGGTGCAAACTGTTGAAATCTTTGCTTAGTATATACTAAATTGATTTTCTGTATATAAAGATAATTGAAAATGAATTTTGATGTGAATGGGATGGGAGAGGGAGTGGAAGATGGGATGGTTGTGGGTGAGAGGAAGGTTATGGGGGGAAAAGCCTCTATAATCCAAAAGTTGTACTTTGGAAATTTATATTTATCAAATAAAATTTTAAAAAATTAAGGTTAAAATTAAAGATATTTATGGTGTAGGGATTTTTAATTGAATGATCAAAAATATTTTAAAACATTTAAAAAATATTTTAAAACATTTAAAATTCTTTGGGGAAATGGAATAAAAATATGAGAATAAAAATATGATGAGATTTCTAAGTGTTAGAAAAGGCTGTAAATATGTGTGTGTATTTATGAAATATATATGAAGTTATGTATGTAAGAAATATATATATATGAGACATATATATATATATATTTGGTTTTTGATGGCTTATGTAACAAATGACTATAGAATTTAAGATATATTGCATTATTACCAGCATTTTTTTTAAAGATTTATTATTTTATTTATTTGAATGTCACAGTTATATAGAAAGAGAAGGAGAGGAAGACAGAGAGAGAGAGAGAGGTCTTCCATCTGCTGGTTCACTTCCCAGATGGTTGCAATGGCCAGAGCTGCCCTGATCTGAAGCCAGGATCCAGAAGCTTCTTCCAGATCTCCCACATGGGTTCAGGGGTCCAAGGACTTGGGCCATCTCCTACTGCTTTCCCATGCCATAGCAGAGAGCTGGATGGGACGTTGGAGCAGCTGGGTCTTGAACTGGAGCCCATATGGGATGCTGGACTGCATATAGCAGCTTTACCCCCTACGCCACAGCACTGGCCCCAACCAGCATATTTTTTCAAAGATTTATTTATTTATTTGAGAAGCAGAGTTACAGAGAGAGGAGAAATGGAGAGAGAGGTCTTCCATCTGCTGGTTTACTTTCTCCAAATGGTTGCAAGGACTGGAGCTGGGTTGATCTGAAGCTAGAAGCCAGGAGCTTCTTCTGAGTTTCCCACATGGATGCATGGGCCCAAGCGCTTGAGCCATCTTTCACTGCTTTCCCAGGCTATTAGCAGGGAGCTGGATGGGAAGAGGGGTAGTTGTGACACGAACCAGCACCCAAATGGAATGCCAGCACTGCAGGTGGAGGCTTAACCTACTACGCCACAGCACTGGTTCTGATAACCAGCATATTTTAAATTTATTAATTTATTTGAAAGGTAGAAAGTAGGGAGAGAGAGAGAGAGAATCTTCCATCCACTGGTTCATTCTCCAAATGACCACAACATCAGGGCTGGTCCAGGTTGAGTCCAGGAGGCTGGACCTCCATCCGGGTCTCCCATGTGGGTGGCGGAGGTTTAAGTACTGGGGTCATCTATAGCTGTTTGCCCAGAAACTTTAGCCGAGCAGGATTGGAAGTGGAGTAGCCAGGACTTCAACCAGTGCTCATGTGGGATACTGATATTACAGGCTGTAGCTTAACCCACTATGCCACAATGCCAGTCCCAGAAAAATAATTTTAAATCCAGTATATACTATATTCTGAAAAACTGCATCATTACAGATACTTAAGTATATAATGAAAATATTAGATATCAAAAATTTGAAAATTACTTAATTACAGTTCTTTCTGTTCTGTCCCTCATTGTATTTGTTAAATACTATACTCATTTTCAAATATTTTTGCTTTTCTGAGAATGCAGGTTATTGAAGGTGATTGATTTTCATCTTTCCTAGAACTTTAGCAAAGTATCATGTTTAAGAGGAACTGAACTATTTCCTAAATTAATTTTATTTTTACAAGAGCGAGTCATTCATTCTTCCTCAACTGTGACTACATAGGCATCAGATTAGTTTTTTTTTTTTTAAGATTTATTTATTTGAAAGTCAGAGTTACACAGAGAGGAGAGGAGAGAGAAAGAGAGAGAGAGAATCTTTCATCCAATGGTTCACTCCCCAATTGGCCCCAACGGCCAGAGCTGTGCTGATTCAAAGCCAGGACCTTCTTCTGGGTCTCCCACGTGGGTGCAGGGGCTCAAGGACTTGGGCCGTCTTCTACTGCTTTCCCAGTCCGTAGCAGAGAGCTGGATTGGAAGTAGAGAAGCCGGGTCTCAAACCGGCGCCCATGTGGGATGCCGGCGCTTCAGGCCAGGGCATTAACCCACTGCACCACAGTACCGGCTCCGGGATTAGTTTTTTTCTACTACTTATAGTCAGACAACTGCCAGATGGGAGTAAAATTTTAGCTTAAAAGATTTGTATTTTTTAAAATAAAAATGAGAATAGGGAAAACTGTGAGAAGGAAATGATACTATAATAAAGAAGTATTAATTTTAAAATTGATTTTCTATATGAAATGAAGCAACACTAAACATTCATAAATACATTTATTGACATAAAATTATAGTGTATATATATTTTAAATAAAAGCAGTTTCTTTTCTTGATAGTTCTTTTTTTAACGTGCACCAAATAGCAGATGGCTAAGAGTGGTTAGCTATAAACCTTTTCTGCCCATGTCACTAATAGAAAATTGTAAGGAAAATTTAGATAGATATATACAGATAGATAGATAAAGATAGAGATAGGTAGTTTTTTTACACAACTTATCACTTCTGCTTAAATGCTGTAAGCACAAGATATTGCCTTACCACTGCATTATTTGCTAAACAGGCAACAAGTAAGCTATGAAAAAGAAGCAGTTTATGCATACACACTGATTTACATTATGTAACACTTTTGCAATTTTTGAGAATTATTAACAACTTTGATCTTGTCCTGTGACAAACTGACAAATATATCAAATTATATTTAAAATTGATATACAGCATTTTATTTGTACTTAGTATTATCCAAAGAAATAATATTACATAGGGATCCCTTAAAATGACATAACTTAGGCAAAAGTTATAAAAATACAATAAAAATTCTAATAAACTTACTGAGAAATAGCAAGTTTGGATTTAGGAATTAGATTGTCTTATATCTCCTGGTTCTTTCCATTTCCTTAATGTTATGGGATTGTTTCTGAATTAAGAAAATATTATTTTGGTTTGTTCCCACCTTGTAAACTGAATGTCTAGCTGATAAATTTTTTTTCTTCCCCAAAATTGTGCTTGAAAACCCCAATACCACCATCCCCTTTGGGTTTTGCCTCTCTTGGAGCCCCCCTCCATGCCACTCTGGCTGGAGGCCTCTGACTTTCTTGCTTTTAAATCTTAAAAAAATATTATTTTGAACTTATAAAGCTACTTTTTTTCAAAAGAAAAATTTGTAACTATATTACATATGATACTCCTTTATGCCAACACTATCTCTGTGAATAGTAATTCTAGGTAACATTTATTGAATACCTCTTTGTACCAGGCACTATGCTTAATATTTTAATAGTCATAGCAGATCTGAGGTAGGTGACATTTTTATGCCCATTTTACAAGAAAGGACCCAAAATCCAGGTTTATGGAAGTCAAAAGACACAGAGGTGCATACTAAAACTCAAAGCGTCTTCGATTTCTATTATACTGTGATTTCCCTAAGTTGGGGTGGGAGAGAAACAGTGTCTTACTGTATGTCAGCATGCATTACGGTTTAGACCATGGCACAGAAAGTAGGGAGGAGGAAGTTAGATAAAACCATCTCCCTGGGCCAGTGCTGTGGTGTAGCGGGTAAAGCCGCTGCCTACAGTGCCAGCATCCCATATGGGCACCAGTTTGAGACCTGGCTGCTCCACTTCTGATCCAACTCCCTGCTGTGTTCTGAGAAAGCAATAGAAGATGGCACAACCCCTGGGGCCCCTGCACCCACGTGGGAGACCCAGAAGAGGCTCCAAGCTCCTGGCTTCAGATCCAGTTAGCTGCAGCTGTTGTGGCTATCTGGGGAGTGAACCATCAGGTGGAAGACCTTTCTCTCTCTCTCTCTCTCTCTCTCTCTCTCTCTCTCTCTCTGCCTCTCTGTAATTCTGCCTTTCAAATAAATAATTAATTCTTAAAATAAATTTCTGGGGTCGGTGTTATAATGCAGCAGGTTAAACCACAGGCCAAGACACCAGCATCCCATATGGTTGCCCTTTCCAGCCCCAACTATTCCACTTCCGGTCCAGCTCCCTGCTAATGCATCTAGAAAAGCAGCAGTAGATGGCCCTAGTACTTGGGCCCCTGCCTGCAACATTGGAGACCCAATGAAGTTTCAGGCTCCTGGCTTGTGCCTGGCCAAGTCTCTGCTGTTATGGCAATTAAGGAAGTAAACCAAACAGATAAAGATCTCTCTTTCCTTTCTCTGTAACTCTGCATTCCAAATAAATAAATAAATAAATCTTAAAAAAGAGAAGCAGAGGGAGAAAGAGAGGTCTTCCGGACACTGGTTCATTCCCCAGATGACTGCAACAGCCGGAGCTGTGCTGATCCAAAGCCAGGAGCCAGGGGCTTCTTCTGGGTCTTCCACATGGGTACAGCGGCCCAAGGACTTAGGTCATTTTCTACTGCTTTCCCAGGCCATAGCAGAGAGCTGGATCAGAAGTGCAGCAGCTGGGATTTGAACCGGTGCCCATATGGGATACTGGCACTGCAGGTGGCGGCTTTACCCCCTATACCACAGCACTCCCCAAAATACATCTTAAAAAAATAAAAAAAGTCCCCTTCTTGCATGTCTTGAGAGCAATGGCTAGATGTACCAGGTAAGTGGCCAGACCAAAAAGTCTAATTTTTATGCTTTGAACAAGCTAGGAGAAAAATCATACTTGTACAGGGGTTAGACAAGAAAGCATTTCAGACGAAATCTGTGTACTATTAAGACCTACAAGAAAATGTTAAAGGGTATACTTATTTTATATTAGGGAATGCAGTCTTTCTGGGCAAATTAAATAGGGAGTTTGTTTTAGTTTGAAAATGAACATTCATGAAGTTTTAGGAGCCCACTTTTAGGAATCCTCTAACCCTACCTTTTCAACTGGTTTTGAGAAATAATAATTTAGAAAACATTTTCTTAAGAGAGAAATCTTTTACTTCAGATTTCCTAAAGTTAGAGTGATATAACATGGGACAATGTACAATGTCTTTATTGTTTTAGATATTTTATAATACAGCTCAGAACACCTGGCTGTGCTCAACTAAAAAGCAAAATAAAATATAACTAAAAGATTGAATAATCAAGGAATTAATATGGTTTTATAATATTAATATAATATTATAATATAATATTAACTGGTAACTCAGGCTGTATGACCAGGTACAAACATTTTAGTATTTAATCTTGCAAAAATCATTTGCTCATCCAACAAAGGAACTAAAATATTTTTTACTTAGTACTTAAAGATTTTTGGTATGCCGGCCAAAAAAAAGTTTTTCTTTTAAAGCATATTTAACATATTAAATAAAACATTCCACATAAAAATAGAAGTTTAAAGAACATAAAAGTTCTAATAAGAAAAAAGTTGAGCTGGGGCCGTGGCTCAATAGGTTAATCCTCCGCCTAGCGGCACCGGCACACAGGGTTCTAGTCCCAGTCAGGGCGCTGGATTCTGTCCCGGTTGCCCCTCTTCCAGGCCAGCTCTCTGCTATGGCCCAGTGGAGGATGGCCCAAGTGCTTGGGCCCTGCACCCCATGGGAGACCAGGAGAAGCACCTGGCCTTCGGATCAGCGCGATGCGCCGGCCATGGCGGCCATTGGAGGGTGAACCAACAGCCAAAGGAAGACCTTTCTCTCTGTCTCTCTCTCTCACTGTCCACTCTGCCTGTCAAAAAAAAAAAAAAAAATTTGAGTAAGAGAAATTGAAAATTCAATTTTCATGTGAATCTTAGTACTGTTAGCTATACCTCCTTTAGTTTGGGAGCTTTGGGTAAGAAAAGTCCTATTTAATACTATTCAAATATATAAATATTAGTTGTATCTTCAGATTTCTTAGATATTTAACAAAGCAAAAATATGATACATTAAAATTTCTTCAATTTCAAAACTTCAGAAGACACTTGTTATAAAAACAGGGCTGGGAACATTGGAACATGTTTGCCCATTAGTGCAGTGAAATGAGCTGACCTTTTTGATTTACTTAGCCATAGAATCTATCATCAAAAATAGATTCTCTAACATAAAATAATACTTTCTGTGGTAATATTTGATGACATTTCTGATCAGAGCCCATAAAGGCTCTTAACAAATAAAACAATACTTGAAGATGTAGATATAAAATTCTCAAGGAATCACTTAAAAACACAGTTTCCTTCCTGTTTTGTTCATATAAAAAAGCAGGTTATCTTTATGCAGTCTCTGTAGCACCAAGGAATTCCATTTCAACCGCGGGCTTTGGTCGTTCGGCCGATCTGCCCTTCTTTCGGAATTCTGCAGCAATTTCCTCAAAAGATTTTCCTTTGGTTTCTGGAACTTTAAAAAATGTGAATAGGGTAAAACCCAAGACCACTCCAGAGAAGAGGAAAAACACATAAGGCCCACAGAATTCCTGGGGAGAGAACAAAGAGATCCAGTTATTCTCTGTGTGGCTGTCTTCTGATTCCTGGGTCTGCACAGTATCAGGCTGCTTACCGCCAAGTACGGGAAACACAGGGCCACCAGGAAGTTGCAGACCCAGTTGCTGAAGGCAGCGAGTGCTAAGGCAGCTGGGCGTGGTCCTTGACTGAAAAGCTCTGCCCCTATGAACCAGGGGATTGGGCCTGGCCCAATTTCAAAGAAACTGACATTGAGGAAGATGGCTACCATGCTCACATAATTCATCCACGTGAACTTATCCTGAGGGAAAAACCAAATGGAAACAAAAGTGAGCCTAGGATCATGGCTGCTTTTTCCTTTATCTATAAAGAAGGTGTCCACTGAGCTTAGAGATGGACATAGTTCTCTTCCTAATGTGTTTATATTCATTGAAGTACAGGTTATTCTAGACTGAATCGTGCTTACATCTTTTGAGCTCCACCGGAGGAAATCCTCTGGATTAGGACTTTATGGGGTCCTTAGTCACTGTTTTCCTCTGAAAGGGGCAAGGCAAGCATCTGGTGGCCTTTGCTCCTACTCACACCAAGATTACTAGACAAGATGTCTAATTCCTTGTGAAGCAGTGGATGAGGACACCAGGCTGGGCACAGTTCACATACTTGCCCAAGGTCATACTGGCAGAGCTAGCCTTAGAGCCCGGGTGGGGACACCCCACAGCCTGTGCTCTGATGTGGCCCTACTGCCTCCCTGGGTAAAAAACAATCGACATGCTGATATCCAGAGTTTAAACCCAAGAAATGAGTTCTCCTTATAACACAATTCTTTGTGTTATATGCTGTTCTCCTGAATTTATCTCATAAGTCCATCTCAGATGCTTTGACATACAAAGTACTTTAAACTAAAGCACAGGTGTTCTGTCACATATCAGAGTAGTCAACTGACTTACCAGTAGCACGAGTCCCAGGGACATGAAGATGTTACAGAAAAACATCCCAACCATTCCGATCAGAAACAGAGAACGTCGCCCAGCCTTCTCCACAAGGAATACCTGGGAATGTTTTTAAAAACATCATCAGGTTTTTTTGACCTGAAATATATTAGCTCTATACTTAGACTTAAGTCATTTTTACTATGAAAGAGGTCCTTTTCATTTATACAGTGGGGAGGAGGCAGTGCTGTTGTTCCATTTTACAGATGTGAGACTGAGGTGGGGAGAGACTATTGCCCCAGGTGACAGAGCTCATTTCGGTGAATGGTTAATGAACAAATACTGCTTAATTTAGTCACTTTGAATTGAATAAGGCTCTTCTAGAAGTAGACCACAGTGTTACCAGCATTCTTGGATTATCACCTTAAATACAATATTCTGAGGCTGTACATCTTAGACCTCTCCCAATAGATGTCCTGCACATTTGAAATCTGAAGGGTCTTCCTTTTAAAGTGACTTTAATTTCACTTCTGATAATTATCCATGGCTATAATTACAAAAGTGTGTGCACCGCAGGGACCTGAAACAGTATGACTGCTCTGGTGTCAACTCTTCTTATCAGCTTTCTCACTGCTTAATAGAATCAAATTCTGCCTACTCATTTGGAAACATAAGGAATTTGATCATTGTCCTAAAATTGTCAGGTCTGTATTTTTCTGGTGTACTTAAATGTACCTGCTGCTGGGAGTGGACTGTTCATTTAAAAAGATAAGACGTCAAAGCAGAAGGTTAAAGTACTTTCTTACCCTAATTGAGGAGATAGTCACTGACTTCATTGGGTCTACCTATGGACCTTTGCATTAATGTTTAATATTTACAACTAGCCAAGATCAGAGTTGGTGGAATAAGACTATTGCCTGGTCCTTGGAATACTGCTAAGGCTGTTGAGTCAGTCTCTTCCCCCCAACCCCACACACCCCTACCTGTCATAGTTTCTCATCTCAATGAGTAACTCTTGGCTAGGCTCATCAGTCTATCAGTAAATCAACAGCAAGCCAATACCCTTAGTATAATGAGCTCTGGCTCTGGAGATACCTGAGGCATGTTTACTCTGCAAGGAAAGCCCCTTTCATCCCAGAAGCACATTCATGGGAGAGTTTCAAATCACTGCAGATAGGATGGTATTAAGCAAAGAGCCCAGGTTTACTTATTGAGCAAGAATGGGAAAAAGCAAACCTTTCTCAAATTCATAGCATTTCTCCAAATGAAGAATTTCAAAATAATGCCATGGGAAATAGAATTATAAGTTGATTTTGATGCAAAGAATTTTTAAGCCTGTGCATAATTTCTTCATCATATGAATTTTTATGAACTCTGTGAACAACTGTGTGTTTTGACTCTTTAGTTATGACTTTCAAAGTTGGCGTGATGACACCCTATCAACCTACCAAGAAAATAAACATTTCTGCATGAATAAGGAGCTCTTACTACATGTTTCTTTTGTTTCTGAAAAATTATTAGGCAATAAACTTTAAAACTGCATGTTTGGAATATTGAGTTGAACATTCTTCTTGAAGCTGGGGTGAAGTTGGGGAGGTATGTGACGAGGTCGATGACTGGGGGAGTACTCCTGGGTGCCTGGTTGGAGTTTGGGAGCAATAGCTTCTCCCCAAAGCTGTCCTGCCTCCCAGTCCCATCTATATTCCTCTGTTTTGTTTCCTCTCAAGTTTTCACGCTTTCTTCTACTAGTCCCTTAGTGTGGAATAAAATATAGCATGTGGAACATAATTTAGTGTGACATTGGTAAAATCTCTTCTACCCCCTGCCAAATACTGATTCAGAAAACAAGCAAAAAAACCTGATTATGTTCATTCTAAATTGGCGAAGCATTAATCATACATACTTCTATTTGCATATCTTTATTTGAAAGGATACACAGAATATGTTAACACTGGTCAATTTTGGGGAAAGTAGTATAGTAAGTTACTATTCTTTTTGCATTTTCTGAACTTTAAAATAGCTTTTCAAAAATGAATATAATTAAACATTTTTAAATGTTGTCTGTTGTTTGGTATTTAGCCTTGCTGTTAAATCTCTGGTTTAGATGCCCATTTCCCATATTGGAGTGGCTAGGTTCAATGCTTGCCTTTGGCTCTTGGCTCCGGTCTGCTGATCCAGACCCTGGGAGGCTGTGATGATGGCACAGGTGGTTGAGTTCTTACTACTCATGAAGAACACTTAGACTGGCTGCCAGCTTTTGAGGAGTGAGCCAGTGGAAGAGAACTCTCTCTCTATATCTCTCAGTGTTTCCTTCCCTTTCTCTCTCAAAGCAAAAAAAAAAAAAAATCCTAATGTTATCTGTAGTTCTAGAAGAGTAATTATATTGTTAGAACTTATTTCTTATTCTGTCAGTCACCTGCTCAAAAACTTCACAGAACCAAAGGATGAACTCTAAAAGGTATATTCAAGATAATTACAACATCATTTTAAATAAAACAACTCTTCTAACTCCAGTGGTGTTAGGGGCAAGGTAGAAAAAATTCTACACAAGTTTTCTCTTTAGATTTTCTCAGAATGTGGGTCACCCAGTTTTGACAACTTGGTGCTTTACATAGCCAACTTAGTATGCACAGTGTTTTAATAATATCTATTTTACAAACATATGTTAAAGTGGGATTTGTAAAATGTTATTCCAGGGAACCAAATGGTGAGTAGTCCCTTGGATTGCTTCCTACTGAGAGGCTCTCATTGACTTAGTGTGCCCTTTGGACTGGGACAGGCATTATCTGTAAAGACAGGTCTGCAGAACCACTGGTGTCCCGTGTTGTCTATCCCTCAGTCTCTCTCCTAGGTTAGTGCTGTGGAATGTGATCTGCACAAACCTGCCTTTTGATCTAGGTAGCAAGGCTTTCATTTATTGACCATGCTAAGGTAACAGTTAAAAGTCCATGTGCACAGCCAGAAAACACGTGGCTAAAATATACTGAGTATAGTATTGTAAGCAAAACTGAAAAACAGAAGCTTTTTGAATATTCTGTATTCAAAGATTAAAATGAGCCCAATTGCTCTCATTTTAGAATGAATTGTCTTAGTTGGGAAGTTTTTGTACTTTTTGTAGTCTATTTTATTTCTTAGATGATTATGTTAAATGTTAGTATTTCAAGATACTGAATCTTTTTTTTTTTTTTTTTTTTTTTTTGACAGGCAGAGTGGACAGTGAGAAAGAGAGACAGAGAGAAAGGTTTTCCTTTTCCGTTGGTTCACCCCCAATGGCCACTACGGCCAGCACGCTGCACTGATCTGAAGCCAGGAGCCAGGTGCTTCTCCTGGTCTCCCATGGGATGCAGGGCCCAAGCACTTGGGCCATCCTCCACTGCACTCCCGGGCCATAGCAGAAAGCTGGCCTGGAAGAGGGGCATCCGGGACAGAATCCGGTGCCCTGACCGGGACTAGAACCTGGGGTGCTGGTGCCGCAGGCAGAGGATTAGCCTGTTGAGCCTCTGTGCTGGCCTTGAATCAATTTTTTTTTTTTGACAGGCAGAGTGAACAGTGAGAGAGAGAGAGAGACAGAGAGAAAGGTCTTCCTTTTCCGTTGGTTCACCCTCCAATGGCCGCTGCGGCCGGCGCGCTACACTGATCTGAAGCCAGGAGCCAGGTGCTTCTCCTGGTCTCCCATGGGGTGCAGGACCCAAGCACTTGGGCCATCCTCCACTGCACTCCTGGGCCATAGCAGAGAGCTGGCCTGGAAGAGGGGCAACCGGGACAGAATCCGGCGCCCCGTCCGGGACTAGACCGGCCCGGTGTGCCGGCACCACAAGGTGGAGGATTAGCCTAGTGAGCCACGGCGCCGGCCCTTGAATCAATTTTTAAGATACCTAGTATTAAGAAGAGTCTATGATCTCTTTGCTTTATCAGAAAATGAAAAATAAAGTTTCTAGTTTAATGCCACTTACACTCCATCCACTCACAATATCTCACATACTGGTATGCGGCAGCACAAACCACTCCCTGAAGTTCTGCCCAGTGACCTAACACCATGGGAATTTGTTGAGTCAGTTTACTTCTACTTACAGGTTGGACAGCTATTGGAGAGGACCTTATTTTTTATGTTTTAAAGTGTTTCTCAAAGACATCAGTATGAAAAAAATTTCAACCATGGAAGGGAACAACATAGGCAGACAGTCCAATATTGATAAAAATGATAAGCCATTGGCTGATCACAAGGGGTTTAAATACAATAAAACAATAGAGCATTAGAGGAAGAGGCCAGTGATTTACACAAATAAAAAGTTCTCTGTGTCTGTAACTGAGTTTTTAATTCTCGAATGAGTGACTAAGTGGCACCCCCGCTGTGGAGAGAGCCAGTAATCTATCTTCTTAATTATGTCCATCTAAATGCAGTATTTGCTTATTGAAATAGGGCTTTGCCCATGAACCACCTAGTTCTACACCTCCAGGGCACATGGACAAAAGTCATCCAATAACTTCTAGATCACAAATTTTCTACCCCATGTCTGCACCAAGAGATAAGCACAGTGTTTACGTATTGACTTACGGAGAGAGCAGTGAAAACTGTGTTGATAGCACCTACTCCAATGGTTGCATAAACAGGTTTCCTGATCCCAGCTTTCTGAAAAATGTTGGTTGAGTAGTAAAAGATCTGCAAAGTAAAAACAGTTTGTCCTTAGTCAAGAAGACCAGATCAAGAAATAACTCAGTCCCAGCCTTCAGAAACCTCCTATACTCAAATTTCTCCTTATACATTCTCCCAAGGAAACTACTTTTCCAACTTCTGATGTCATAAATAAATTTTTTCTAGTCTTGTACTTGATATAAATGTCTGGATTCTTTGGTTCATTAGTACTTTTGTGAGAATCATACCTATTGTTTCTTTCCCTTGTAGAGTATTCTTTATCATTACCATGTATTATTTTGCTTCATTGATGTACCACAATGTAGTTACTCTTTTGACTCTCGCTGAGTATTTAGGTAATGGCCATTTAGGCTGCTTATAAATAGTATTGTTATGAACATTCTAACCCTCCTTTTGGTGTAGTATACATATATATATATATATATTTATTATACCTGGGAATAGAATTACTGGGCCATCGTGTATGCATAATGCTCAGCCTTGAAAGACATCGCCAAACAGTTTTCTGAAGTGACAACAATTGTAAACTCACCAGCATGTATACAACTTCTGATTGCTCTTGAGTTTAGCCCAAAAATGTCCATTAGTCTCAATAGCGATGGAGGAACCTGGTTCACAGCTTTCCTAATAGTCCTTTTGAAAGTTATTTATGAGGACCAGCACTGTGGATTAACAGGGGTTAACCTGCCACCTGCAGCAGTGCCGGCATTCCATATGGTGCTGGTTCAAGTGCTGGCTGCTCTGCTTCCAATCCAGCTCCCCGCTAATGTGCTTGGGAAAGCAGCAGAGAATGGCCTAAATTCTTGGGCCCCTGCACCCCCGTGGGAGACCCACAAGAAGCTCCTGACTTTGGGTTGGCCCAGCTCCTGCCATTGTGGCCATTTGGGCAGTGAACCAGTGGATGAACCATTTCTTTTTGTTTCTCTTCTCTCTCTAATTCTGCATTTCATTCCAGTTTCTTTCCCAGACCATAGCAGAGACTCGAACTGGTGCCCATATGGGAAGCCAGCACTGCAGGCAGCAGCTTAGCCCACTATGCCACAGCACCGGCCTCTAACTCTGCATTTCAAATAAATAAGTAAATCTTTTTAAAAAGTCAAAGAGATCAAGAAGCCCCACAACAACAAAACAAACAACCCACTTAAAAGATGGGCCAAGGACCTAAATAGACATTTTTCAAAAGAGGAAATGGCCAAATGGCCAACAGACACAGGAAAAAAATGTTTAGGACACTAGCAGTCAGGGAAATGCAAATCAAAGCCACAATGAGGTTTTACCTCAGCCCGGTCAGAATGGCTCACATGCAAAATCCACCAACAACAGATGCTGGCGAGGATGTGGGGAAAAAGGGACACTAACCCACTGTTGGTGGGATGCAAACTGGTCAAGCCACTATGGAAGTCAGTCTGGAGATTCCTCAGAAACCTGAATATAATCCTACCATACAACCCAGCCATACCACTCCTTGGAATTTACCCAAAGGAAGTTAAATTGGCAAACAAAAAAAGCGGTCTGCACCTTAATGTTTATTGCAGCTCAATTCACAATAGCTAAGACCTGGAATCAACCCAAATGCCCATCAACAGTAGACTGGATAAAGAAATTATGGGACATGTACTCTATAGAATACTATGCAGCAGTCAAAAACAATGAAATCTGGTCATTTGCAACAAAATGGAGGAATCTGGAACACATCATGCTGAGTGAAATAAGCCAGTCCCAGAGGGACAAATATCATATGTTCTCCCTGATCAGTGAGAACTAACCAATCACCAGAAAGGAAACCCGTTGAAGTGAAATGGACACTATGAAAAACAGTGACTTGATCAGCCCTTGTCCTGACTGTTGATGTACAACTTAATACTTTATCCCTCTTAGTATTTTTTTGTTCTACTTAATACTATTGGTTGAACTCTGTAATTAACACACAATTATTCTTGGGTGTTTAAATTTATCTGAAAAGTAATCCCTGTTAAATATAAGAGTGGGAATAAGAGAAGGAAGAGATGTACAATTTGGGACATGCTCAAGCTGACTTGCCCCAAATGGTAGAGTTAGAAACATACCAGGGGATTCCAATTCAATCCCATCAAGGTGGCATGTACCAATGCCACCTCACTAGTCCAAGTCATCAATTTCAGTTCACAATTGATCACACTGATAGGTCTAAGAGTCAAAGGGATCACACAAACAAATACTAACCAATAGAATAAAAAAGGGAGAGAACGATCCAACATGGGAAGTGCGATACACAGCAGACTCATAGAATGGCAGATGTCCTAAACAGCACTCTGGCCTCAGAATCAGCCCTTAAGGCATTCGGATCTGGCTGAAGAGCCCATGAGAGTATTTTAGGCATGGAAAGCCAAGACACTCTGGCAAAAAAAAGAAAGAAAGAAAGAAAGAAAGAAAGAAAGAAAGAAAGAAAGAAAGAAAGAAAGAAAGAAAGAAAGAAAGAAAGAAAGAAAGAAAGAAAAGAAAGAAAGAAAGAACAGGCCATCAAAGAAGGAGGTATCTTTCTCTGAAGGGAGGAGTGAACTTTCACTTTGACCATGACTTTGTCTAAATATGATCGATGTCCGTGAACTCAAAAGGCTTACATAGCCTTGACAACTCATGACAAGAGCCTAGGGAGATTACTGACACCATAAACAAGAGTTTCAATTGTTAAATCAACAACAGGAGTCACTGTGCACTTACTCCTCATGTAGGATCTCTGTCCTTAATGTGTTGTTCAATGTGAATTAATGCTATAACTAGTACTCAAACAGTATTTTACACTTTGTGTTTTTGTGTGGGTGCAAACTGTTGAAATCTTTACTTAATATATACTAAATTGATCTTGTGTATATAAAGAGAATTGAAAATGAATCTTGATGTGATTGGAAGGGGAGAGGGAGCAAGAGTTGGAAGGGTTGCGGCTGGGAGGGAAGTTTTTTTGGGGGGGAAGCCATTGTAATCCATAAGCTGTACTTTGGAAATTTATATTTACTAAATAAAAGTTTAAAAAAGTTACTCATGCTTATATATTTATAATAGTCTTTTAGGCCATTCTGCCTTCTCTCATCCTTTCCCACATAATGCGTCCTGTTCCTGGAACTCCTTTCTGTAGACAATAATAATGCAGGAGGACTTTGCAGACTGTGCTCTGTGATAGTGGCTTGGAGCACACTACACACTATCCTAGCAGCCTGGATGCCTCTGCAAGTCAGGCCTTGGGACGGAAGCTGAAGCAGTTTCAGAGAGATTAAGTACTGTTCCATTGGAAATACAAGCAGAGGTAAAAGAGGGAACAGAAATCTGGCACCTAAGCTTCAAAGTTACGCAAAGTATTAAGTAAAATATAGGCACTTTAAAGAAGAACAGAGGCCACAATTAAGAAATACTTAGGTTATAGAGTGAGATTCATTTTAGGAATCCTCTGCTTTGACTGATAGCACTTTCCTTTCCTCCCTCAAGGCTCTGACCATCCATCAGTTATCACCAAAGTAAACCCTGGAGATCTGATATTAGTTCATTGTACAGAAACCCCATCCAAATCTGTAACAGCAATGAAAGGGATGGTGATTTTTATTATCTTATATCTTAACACACGCTTCTAGTAGCTAAGTGCCAGTAGAACCATTTTAGTTTGAATGATGCAAAACCTAAAAATACTCAGTATGTTTCTCAGACAAGTCTTACCTTTTAAAAAAATATGAATACTTATTTATTTGGAAGGCAGAGTTACAAAGTGAGTGTGAGACAGAGAGAGACCGTCTATATGCTGGTTCACTCCCTGAATGGCCACAATGGCCAGGGCTGGGCCAGGCTGACGCCAGGAGTTGTCTGGGTCTTGCGCATGAGTGGCAGGGGCCTAAGCACTTGAGTCATCTTTTCTGCCTTCCTGGGTGCATTAGCAGGGAGATAGGTCATAAGTGGAGCAGCAGTTACTCAAACCAGTGCTCATACGAGATGCTGGGCATCACAGGCAGCAGCTTAACCTGCTATGCCACAACGCTGGCCCCTTCCCTCTATATCTTAATTCATTATGCTCCTAAGAATTAGAAGGTGGGGGCTGGCACTGTGGCATTGTAGGCTAAGCCTCTACCTGTGGCACCAGCATCCCAGATGGAAGCCAGTTCGAGTCCTAGCTGCTCCTCTTCCAATCCAGCTCTCTGCTATGGCCCGGGAAAGCAGTGGAAGGTGGTCAAAGTGCCTGGGCTCCTGCACCCCCATGGGAGACCTGGAAGAAGCTCCTGGTTCTTGGCTTTGGATCAGCTCAGCTTTGGTCATTTTGGCCTTTCAGGGAGTGAACGAGTAGATGGAAGACCTTTCTCTCTGTCCATAAATAAATAAAATCTTAAACAGGACTTAGAAGGCGTTCTTAAACTTACCCCATTGATTCCAGAAAATTGCTGAGCCATGTGCAGCATCAGTGCCACTATAATAGGCTGCCGGCAGCTGGAGTTGGTAAAGAGCTGAATGATAGAGACTTTCTGCTCACTTGATGCTTCTTCTTTTTCTTTTCTCATCTCATTAATGTCTTTGCTTATATCATCACTTCCTCTTAATCTTTTCAAGCCTGCCCCCGAATATGATCAGGTTAATTAATTCAGGTCAAAAGGAAAACAAATTTATTCTTAGGTTAATAAAAGAGCTACAATTCTACAGGTCTGTTTCTTTCACTTAGTACCATGGATATTGGAAATTGTTTTTGTTAACTTCTGCTCTTTGATTTAAAAAAGGTAGAACATTAGCCTTCACCTCATGGCAGTAAAAACTCTTTTCCTGTTTGTCATAGAAGCATAATGCTGGGAGGGTCTTCTGGAAGCTCTCATTAGACTTGAGTGAATGTGTATGGGTGTGAAATGGCATGTGTGCCAGTCATGCATCTTCTTACTTGCAGTCACTGACTTTATCCGGAAGGCACTGGTACTAATTACACAAGTAACCATTCATACACATTGCTTTGCATTAGCTGATAGTTCCAAAAGAATAGGAAGAAAGAAAATTCACCCACAGACTTACTTTTCTTTGCTTTGACTTCCTCCTCCAACGTGATGTAAAGGTATCTTGGACTTTCTGGACAGAAAAATAGTAGCAGAATCTGGAGGAGGGCTGGCACAGCAGACAGGCCAAGCAGGATATGCCAGTGATGATTATTGCCCAGGACAGAGTCAAGTCCCACAATCTGAAAGGGCAAGCAGAGAACGTATCAGTTGTATAGTACTCTGGGTCTGCCTTCTATAGCATTTGTTTAGCAAGCACATTGGCTATTTGATAAATACCTAATAACCGTGGTTCAAGTACTAGGTCACTTCAGAATGTTTGTGGAAATGTGAATTTAAAGATAAAGTTCATTGTGGTGCATAACAATTTTTTAAACCCATGCATAATTTTTTAATAGTATGTTTTTCCACAAACTTTTCGTATATTTTGCATCTGCGTAAGATGGAAACTGTTACTAGTGTGTCTCACTTTAACTAAATTAAGGATTTTTTTTTGACAAAGAATTCTAGATTTGTTTTTCAATTAAGCAAACTTTTGAAAACACATTTGAAATATAAAACAACACAAAGCTGGGGCCGGCACTGTGGCATAGCGAGCTAAGCCTCTGCCTACAGTGCCAGCATCCCATATGGGCGCCAGTTCTAGTCCTGGCTGCTCCTCTTCTGATCCAGCTCTCTGCTATGGCCTGGGTAACAGTAGAAGATGGCCTGAGTGCTTGGACCCCCTGCATCTGTGTGGGAGACCAGGAGGAAGCTCCTGGCTCTTGGCTTCAGATTGGTCTAGCTCCAGCCATTGCAGCCATTTGGGGAATGAACAAGTGGATGGAAGACATTTCTCTCTGTCTCTCCCCCTCTCTGTAATTCTACCTCTCAAATAAATAAATAGCTTATAAAAAATAAAGCAACAGGTGACTAGATGGAATGATACTGTATTAAACTCATACACAACTTTGGATCTTTTCCTAAACATTCCTTCTTAGATTACCCAGAACTTAAATAGAATGGGGTTTCGTAGATAGAACAGTTGCTCTGATTGAAGCCAGCTTTATGATACTTATTGCATTTATTTACATGTGGACTTCCTTGTAGAAGGCCAGAAGTATGGAGTTCCAAGAACTCCCTCTTGAGACTACATGGTAGAAAAGAAACTGATAGAGCCAGATGAGTAAGTACACCTGATTACCATTTGCACATTAGATTTCCAGGTAAAAGACTCAAAGGAAACCCAAGCAGTCAAAAATTTGAAGTTATCTTCTCCATAAAAACTAAAAGGAGCAATTTAATTCTAGAGTAGCTAGAAGTTTTGGCTTGCCTGTTCACCTCTGATGCCATACCCACCAATAACTCTAAGGAGAAAAGGGACAAGTGGGAATAATTTACCTTTGGACTATAAAGTCTATGTCTCTACATTGCCACTTCTCCTGGTGGAATTGTCTTTCTTCTCTGTCCTGGTCTACAATGACAGTGGATAGTCAACGTGTGAAATGGCATGCACCGGAAGAGAACAGATGAAGCAGAGGATATGTGAAGGGGGGAGGGACAGGAAGTCTTTACCTGACTAATAAGAATGCCAGTGACAAGAGCCAGCTGGTGAAGAGCTCCAAGGGCGCCCCTGAGTGTAGTTGGAGCAATTTCCCCAATATACATGGGAACCAGGCCTGAAATGAGCCCTGTATGAGACATGAACACAAATGTTAAAGTACAGCCAGGACTACTTCAAGAATAATAATTTAAGTACAGTCAATACTCTGACAGCCCCTTTTTGAGTCCATTGGAAGAGAGAGCTTTTGTCCCCAGCCATTTTTGTTGATAGGATGCTAAGTGCAGTTGTGATTGGAAATATGAATAGAAAGAAATTCTTATTCATGTATTGGCAATTCTTCATGGTGTTATTAGTTAAAAATATCCATGTTAACATTTAGTTTACATCAATAATGTCTTAAGCTGTCTTCAGAAAGGAGACTAAGGGATGTTTTAATAATGTTCTTAATCTGTACTCATGAGTTTAAAGGAAATTAGGACATATAGAGGCCAACATCTTGATGGAGGTGATAAATGACTTGCCAAAGATCACAGTACATTAGAGCATTAGCATGAGAACTACAAGCCCTGTCTGTGTTTCCACAATGTGGAGATGTTTCAAGACCCCTGGTAGGGTGATGATGGGGAATGCAAAGTAGAGGAGGTTAAGGAAGAATTGAAGGACTCTTTCCCCAATTATTGCAGTCAGAGCAAATTCTATCCAAATATTAGGCTTCAAAAATTTTATTTGAAGAAAGACTTTTGATGATTATAGGAATACAGAAATTTTGAAAAGTACTAGGTCATATTGCCTTACGTAGCTTTCTTAAATACACAGAGAATCAGTCATCTTGGAAATGGTGGAGCATCCTGCCAGTTGATGATTGCATCAAAAGGTCAGAGACTATCGGTAAAGCAAAGCTGAATCCAATATTTGGCATTTTCTTTTTCTTTTTTTCTTTTTTTCTTTTTTTGACAGGCAGAGTGGACAGTGAGAGAGAAATACAGAGAGAAAGGTTTTCCTTTTCCATTGGTTCACCCCTCAATGGCCGCTGCGGCCAGCATGCTGCGGCCAGTGCACTGTGCTGATCCAAAGCCAGGAGCCAGGTGCTTCTCTTGGTCTCCCATGCGGGTGCAGGGTCCAAGGACTTGGGCCATCCTCCACTGCACTCCCGGGCCACAGCAGAGAGCTGGCCTTCAGAGGAGCAACCGGGACAGAATCAGGTGCCCCGACCAGGACTAGAACCCGGTGTGCCGGTGCCGCAGGCGGAGGATTAGCCTATTGAGCTGCGGCGCTGGCCTTTGGCATCTTCTTAAGAATTTAAAAATAAATTTTTTCAGAATTTTTCTCTTAGAGGATACCTACTTATCAAATAGAAATGGATTATATTTGTGTAAAAATACTTTTAGCAACTGTTTTCTATATATATTTTTAATGCTTCAAATTGTTCTTAAATCTCAACTGAACATTTATATGGTTGTTAGGATATCTGTACGTCTGCTGAATTTTATATATGATGCTAATGTATGTCCTGTTGATCTTAAGTAAGGAAAATTTATTTTACCTTATTATGGGTTGTATTATCTTTCTGTCATATCTACTATTTTTGTAAATCAAGAACAGAATGATGTGATATGATCATAGGTCTAAATCACTTGAACCTAAAGTGAAATTACAATTTTTAGTTTCTCCCCTCATATATATATATAATCATACATCCTATACATTTTTAGCAACTTTAATACCCAAATAAGGTCAGGCATAATTTTGAAAGATGGCTGCAGAGCACAAGTTACTTGGCTATGATAATTATGGGCTTCTCAACCATATGTTTATTACATTTATTTTACATTTTGCTAAAAATATTTTGTGATGTCTTTTTTTTTTTTTTTAATTTTTGACAGGCAGAGTGGACAGTGAGAGAGAGAGACAGAGAAAGAAAGGTCTTCCTTTGCCGTTGGTTCACCCTCCAATGGCCGCCGCTGCAGCCGGTGCACCGCGCTGATCTGATGGCAGGAGCCAGGATCCAGGTGCTTTTCCTGGTCTCCCATGGGGTGCAGGGCCCAAGCACCTGGGCCATCCTCCACTGCACTCCCTGGCCATAGCAGAGAGCTGGCCTGGAAGAGGGGCAACCGGGACAGAATCCGGCGCCCCAACCGGGACTAGAACCCGGTGTGCCGGCGCCGCAAGGTGGAGGATTAGCCTATTGAGCCACGGCGCCGGCCGTGATGTCTTTTCTATATTATATTTTTAAAAATAGAGAAAAAAGAAAAATCGTGATTTAGACTTCTTTCATAGTACTATTATTTGTATCTCAACAGAGAAGGAACTGGGACTCAGATTTAATTACTACCTCTAAGGCCATCCAGAAACGGTGCCAGAATGGATTTACCCTGAATCCAAAGCTCTTTCCCATGTTAGTTGACTTTTCACTTTGATAAAACTACTCTGATCTTCAGCTATTTGTATTAACATTGAAAGTAATGAAAATGTATGTTTGAGTTATTAACCTGTGAGTATTTTAGACTTTTGCTTCAACTGACCATTGAAAATGCATGAAATTAAAGTGTTTTCTGCAAATGGAATGCTTTATACAAGTTTTAGACCTTACTTCTCTTTTCCCCCTCTACTGGTTGTTAGTGCTTTGAAGGGTAACTACAATTTGTGAAAAAATGGGTTAAAATGTCAGCCCAGAGCTGTCATTCTCAGGGCTTCACTGCTTTTGAGAAGTTAAAAGATTTGACCATTTGTTTTAAAGACTGAATGATTCTTTGTTCAGACCTCCGCTAATTTGCTTCCTCTGTAAGTTTGCAAAGCTTTTTCCAGGGACTAGTAATTCTCACTATTCAGACCTAAAATTGAGAGAAGGAGTATCTTTCTTCTATTCTGAACTCCTTTACCAGTTGTTTCTGCCTGATTCCTTCTCTCTTATGGACACCACCACTTCGCTGAGTCATGGATAGAACCAGACAGTGCTAGGAAATGTGGTCTAGGAGATGGCTCCAGGCGTCAAGGTCTTGCTAGATATGAGAAACAGAAGTGATGGTCTGGTAGGGCTTAGGAGCAGAGTTTAGGTTCTGGATCTAGCTGTCTTCCACTGTCTTCTGGTACCACAAGAGTAATAACAACAGCTAGCATTTATTGGCAGCTTGCTATATATTAGAATCTATTCTGAATATTTTACGTCCATTCTCACAATCACCCTGTATTAGCTTTATGTTACTACAACTAAATAGCTGACACAGACTACTTACAAAGAAAGTGAGTTAATTTTGGTTCATGGTTTTGGAGATTCACAGTCTAATATCTGGCAGGCCCTATTGTTCAGGCCATGTGGTGATGCTAGGGGATAGCAATGGTGGAGCTTGTGCAGAGGGAGGATCACATAGTAAGCCAGAAAGCAGAAAGAGAGGCTAGGCCCAACTCAGCTGCTATAACCAACCATCTGGCAAGATCTGCCTTTTGAGGACGTGCTCCCAGTGATCTAAGGACCTCCCACCCAGTCCACCTCCTAACATTGTAATTGGATCAAGACTCTACCCTCTTTAATACCATTAACTTACGACTTTGGAGCTTAAATGCCTGCATGAATTGGGAAGTGAAGCCACATTCAATCTATAACACACATTGTAGGATAGATAGTAAAGTCCTCTTCATTTAACAGGTGAAGAAACTGAGAGAGTTAAGTAATTTGTGAGATATCAGACAACTAGAGGTGATATCATTGAAGTGAATAAGAACATAGGATAGATAGCACACTTACTGTTCCCTAACCTCTCTCACTCAAGACGTCTACATTTGCTACTCCGTTTCCCTCTGTCATGCCACCATCGCCTAAAAAATATCCCAGCATGTTGCCATATGTGGCTTGAGAGCAACTTTCAGACAAAAATGTGTATGTGTGTGTGTGTGTGTGTGTGTGTGAGACTTACCACAGTAGAGTCCTGATATGCCTCTTCCTGCAATTATAAGTATATGAGATGGTCCCAATTTTGAACACCCCATCAAGAGCGCTCCAACTAATGAGAAGATGTTTGCTACCAAGAGGGATTTGATTCTGAAATTTTGAAAAGCAAGGATTATAAATTCAGCATCAAAACTTGATGAAATTTTTTGCTTTCAGAGAATATTGAGATTTTTGCTCAAGATCAATTATTTTAACTCTACTATAAATGCTAGTGCAGGAATCTTGAGCCAAGATTCTTACTTTGACTCATCCATGGGCTAAAATATTAACAATAAGTATTATGTAGGATGAGAGAATCTGGGCTGTATATACCTGCTGTCCACACTTGGATTGAGATGATTAAGTTACATGGATGAATAGTTTAAGATAACAGTTCTGACTTTTTAAAAAATAACAGTTAGCTAATTAGATAGTCTACAAGCTTATTGTTTTTAAAGAATAACTGGTGATAGCTGAAGCTGTAAGCTAAAATTTGGTTTCTTCCTTTTTTTCTTTCAGTGATACAGGTTTTTAGTTGATGTAATTAGGAGAGAAACTTTTGCTAACAAATTCTTTTCATATAAATTAGTTGCAAGTAAATTTAAAAATAGTATTAAGTCTCACCATACAGAATTATACTTAACCTTATTTTAACATTGTATGCCAGTATATTTCCAGACTCTATGAATTAATATTAACCAATGTAAAATATGCAATGAAGTTGATAATGGCAACAATGTTATTTTTTATTCCTATTTAGTGGGAAAGTGAAATACACCAAAACCTTCTTCAGAGTTAAGTAAATGATGCTAAGGCCAATGAAATAATCTCAGTGGACATTTTCATATTTGTGCCATACAGAAGTGTAAGCACCTTGTTATATTTTATTCTAATGTTTCAAACTGTGATAGATGAGCTTTTCCTCAGCAAGTATCTTTAACACCAAACAGATTTATTTTTCTGGAGAGTAAAACTATACAATCTGATACCGCAGTGATTGCCTAACTGCTATTTGATAAGCTGAATAATGTTCCCCAGGAGCCAAATCCTGACCCTCAGACTCTGTGAATGCTACTGTACATGATAAAAGGGACTTTGAAGCTGTGATTATTAAGGATCTTGAGATGGAGGAGGTTATCTTGGATTATTAAGGTAGTTTGTAAGAGAAGGGCAGATGAGGAGAAGGTGATGTGATTAGAATAATCCAGGCTGGGTTGGAGTGCTTTGAAGATGGGGGAACAGCTGCAAGCCAAGGACTGCAGGTAGCCACTGCTTTCTATATTTGGTGTATATTATTTTTATTATGGGAAAAAATAGTCATGAATACACAAAATTTGGGTTCAAACAACAGGAAACAATATCTGATTTTATTTTCTCTATAGAACAGGTGTGGGGAGGTTCCTGCCAATGGGTCATACTGTGCAATCATTTAGTCTGGCTTTGCCAGTGCAACTGCAGGCAGGACTCAAAATGCAATAAATCTATAGCAGACTAATTTTTTTAAGTTGATAATTTTGTATGGCATACTAATGATGCTATAAATACCAAAATGGCCCTTGGCAGTAAAAAGATTTCCCTATCCCTGCTATATAGGATGGGAAACCCCAACAAATTTATCATGTCATATGACTAAATGAGAGTCTAGGGTAAAGGGATTTTACTAATGTCTTTAAAATGCCTAATAGAAACCAAATGGAGATACCACTCACTTCCTGTCTTATTGGGCCTTTGAGATGGTAGCAGCAGCTAGAAACTGCTGGCCAAGTATTCTGGACAACAGGGAGTTGGAGATGTTGACTTGACATAGGACTTGACTGATCTAAATGCCAAATTCTAATCTAAAAATGAAAAACCTGGAAGTCTGAGAACTGGTAATTTGTGGTGAAACTCATAATGGATTCTTAGGTTAAAAATATCAATCCAAGCTCTTCTGTTGAGTTTCTGGATTGACAATTTGTATGGTGGCTTCCTAAAATGTTTTCATAACTTACAAAGCCAGAGAATCAAATCAATTATCTAGAAATACACACCACATTCACTTATGCTACAATGCCTCCATGATTGGTTACATTGCTGTAATAGCGTTTTCCACGTATTTAAGCTAACATCAACCTGCCTGGTAGGGTTATGGGTTGCAAAAAATAACTCCAAGAGCATCCCACAAAAGAAAAGGAGATATCTTTCTATACAAATTCTAACAAAACCAAAATTTTAAAGTTTCTCTGTTAATTCTTATTTGTAAAATTTGCCTACCTTCCAAGCTTGTCTCCAAGCCACCCACCAAAGAATGATGCAATCATTCCACCAACTGCAAAGCTGGACACAGACAGGGACCAGAACATGGTGATGAGGCCATCAGGTGTCATAGTGTCTTGCTCAGACCCAGGGGGTGATGTTGGGTACACAGGGGTGGTGGACAGTGCCTCTGTATCGTTGATAGTATAGCTGTTGATAGCCTTTCGGTCATCCAGTGGAACACCCAAAACATGTCTGTAATGGGATTTTATTGTCTGGGGAAACAGAGAGAAAATTACTCCAATATTTCACTTACTCTATATATTTTTGTTGATTTTTCCCTTAAAATGTTAGTTGGATATTTAGTTAAGACTGTCCTAATTATGTGTGTCATGTACATATAAACAGGAATAGATTTATTTTAGTTGACCATATCCTATAAAGTAGAGGTTACAAATCTGACCTGTTCTGCAGGTTATAAAGATACATTTTTTTTTAATCTTTGACAGGCAGAGTGGACAGTAAAAGAGAAAGACAAAGAGAAAGGTCCTCCTTTGCCGTTGGTCCACCCTCCAATGGCCGCCGCGGCCGGCGCATCGCGCTGATCCGAAAGCAGGAGCCAGGTGCTTCTCCTGGTCTCCCATGGGGTGCAGGGCCCAAGCACTTGGGCCATCCTCCACTGCACTCCCGGGCCACAGCAGAAAGCTGGCCTGGAAGAGGGGCAACCGGGACAGAATCCGGCGCCCTGACCAGGACTAGACCGGCCCGGTATGCCAGCGCCGCAAAGCGGAGGATTAGCCTAGTGAGCCACGGCACCGGCCATAAAGATACATGTTAACACAAGTATTGCTTCACCACAAATATTTAGTAGAAGTATAAAAGAAAAAGATTGGGAGAGGATAAGATGAGGGAGGCAGGCATTTGGACCAGCAGTTATGATGTGTCATGGGACACTGGCAACCCATGTTGGAGTGCCTGGTTTGGGTCTTGGCTCCTCAGCCTCCAATCCAGCTTCCTGCTTATGTACACCCTGGAGGCAGCAGATGGTGGCTCAAATATAGGTTTCCTGCCATGCATGAAGGAGACCTGATTTGAGTTCAGCTTCATGGCTTTGACCTGGCACAGCCTTGGCTCTTGCAGGCATTTGGGGAGTAAACCAGCAGATAGAAGATTCATATTGTCATTCATTCATTCTCTCTCTCTCTCTCTCTCTCTCTCTCTCCCCTTTTCAAATGAAGTGGAAATAAATATTTGTCTTTAAGTTTCAATAAAGATAAAATGTAGGTCAAAAATAAAGTTAGTAGTATACAAAAATCAAACACTGGATATTGTATCCTTGCAAGAAGAATGCTATAAATTTAGTAATAAACTTCCTGGTAGTCAGTGCAAAGAGAGGAAAACAACCATGTAAGTGATTGATGAATTCCAAAGATAAAAACAGTCCCATGGCTCCTGAGAAGATATGGAGACTTAGAAGTAATTTCTCCTACAGGCCTTCACAGAGGTCAGTGTGTAATAGAAGGAGCAATGTCCAGAATTGTAATCACACAGAAGCATTTTTAGATTTTGCTTTGGTGGAGACAAATGTCCTACCAAATAGAACTGAATTAGAGGACATTCTTCAGGCCATCTTTCTCCCATGTCATTCTTCCCAGTTATGATTTGATCACTTTATGGGGAGGGTCCTTTTGACAAGGACCTGGAATGCTGTTGCTCTGTGTTACCAGTTATGAGCCAAGTCAGCAGCATGAGGGGGAGAATTGACATTCTCATTAAAACACTGCCTTACATGGATAACATGCATTAAAAAAGACAGGAAGGAACTGTCCAAAATGTTCTCAGCAGTTTACTGTATGTGGAAGAATAGTTATGGTTGTTTTTTCCCTTGTATTTTCTACAATAGACATGTAATTTCCATAATCATAAAAAAGTATGTGCAGGGTCTGGTGCCGTGGCTCTCTGGGTTAATCCTCCACCTACGGTGTTGGCATCCCATATGGGTGCCGGTTCTATTCCCGGTTGCTCCTCTTCCAGTCCAGCTCTCTGCTGTGGCCTGGGAGGGCAGTGGAGGATGGCCCAAGTGCTTGGGTCCCTGTATCCGCATGGGAGACCAGGAAGAACCACCTGGCTCCTGGCTTCAGATGGGCGCAGTACGCTGGCCGTAGCAGCCATCTAGGGGGTGAACCAACGGAAGGAAGACCTTTCTCTCTGTCTCTCTCTGTCTAAACTCTACCTGTCAAATAAATTTTTAAAAAAAGTATGTGCAAAATCTCTTAAAATAATTGCAAATTCCATTCAGTTAATAAAAAATAAAAGGTATGAATGGCCATTCTCTTTAAATGGCGTTAACTCAGCGCTTCTTTGCGCTTAGAAGGAAAGGGCTACAGAAAAGGCACTAACCCTTTACCAGTAGGGGCATCCCTGTTTTCATCTCTGGCCCTGCAATTTGGACTCAAGGAATGGATATCTCAGCCTAAATTTCCAAGACTGGAGAGGATGATTTAAGAAAAGTTGTGAAAATGTCTTCTACAAAAAAATTTTAAAAAGGTCTCCAGTTACCCTAAGTCATGGTGATTTTGAGCTAAATTTTAGGAAACCTACTAAACTGGTATATGTTGTCGTCATCCACAGAAAAAAGACATGAGTTTGGTCTCCTGACTCCCAGCTTTAGTCCCTGGATAAACACCTCCCACACTCACAAAGAAGTGTGGCACCTAGTTGGAGCGCATCTCTTGGCCCAATGAGCAGCCTTTGTCAGGTGATGGATTGTGGACCGCACAGACTTCACACATTAGTATCTTGCAGTATCCAACACTTTCCTTGGAGTTCAGTGTTATAAGGGCAGCAGATGAAACATGATGCATTCACAGTAGGGGCCCAAAAAACGTTTGCAGCTTCACATGCTACTCCTTCCCCAGGCACTTGCTCTCTCTCAACCCCTCTACCATTCATTCATTAGATAATATAATGAACACCTTTATGCTAACCAACATGCTTGGCACTGGTGACAAAAAGAGCAATGAGACATCAGTGCTTCACTCAGTGATCTCACAGGTCTGAGTTAGAGCAGAGGGGAGTACAGTCTTGGCTCCTTCACTTACATCTGTGGGGACTGGAAAGAATCTCTTGTCTATTCACTGGATACCAGAGTAGGGATGAGTACATGAAATAAATGGGATAAATCAGCACAGAAATTATTTGATACTTTTTAAAAATACCCATCCAAATAGTTATTACAGAAAAAATTCAAACTTCTTTGTACTTCTTGACTGTTATTCTAAAGTTCTGTAGTATTTTATTTTGAATCACCTATGGAGGACAGGAATGGGGAAGGGCTATAACCTTTTTAGTGTTAGGGCTTCTAAAGATTTTAATATGGCTTGAAAATAGGCATATTAAGGTCATTAGGGAATCCAATTTGGGAGAGCATTTGTTAAAGTGCCTGGGGCAAATAAGTAGGTGCTCAATAAATGGGCATCGAGGGGCTGGCATTATGGCATAATGGGTTAAGGCAAGCCTGAAATGTCAGCATCCCATATGATCACCAGTTCATGTCCTTGCTGTTCCCCTTCTGATCCAGCTCCCTGCTAATATGCCTGGGAAAGTAGCAAAAGATGGCCCAATTTCTTGAGCCCCTGCCACCCGCTTGGAAAATCTGAAAGAAGCTCCTGGCTTTGGCCTGGCCTAGCTCAGCCTTTGCAGCCATTTGAGGAGTGAACCAGCAGATGGAAGATTCTCTCTCTCTCTCTCTTTCTGTAACTCTGCCTTTCAAATTAATTTTAAAAAATAAATGGGCATTGACTAAAACATGTCCTAGATTGTTTCCTATTATTCCCTACCATTTTTCATTCATGCATGAGTGACTGTTCTGAATGAATGCTGCAATAAGCTGTTTTTTTTTTTTTTTATTTTTGAGACATCCTTGGGCATGTGATATTCTGGCTGGAATTTTCTGTGAGCTCAGCAAACAGCTGAGTCAGAGATCAAGAATTATTTATTGCTCCTTTGCCCCCTGAGCGTTGTTAGCTGAAGAGTCAAGCCAAACTTATCAGCTTTGGAATCATGCACATTGTACTGCATACAGGCCAAGATTACCCCCGTGCTCCCCACGTGGACACACTTAATTTCCATGTATGAGGAATGTATGATAGCTGTCACTGATAAAATTTGCCAAAAAGAGAACTTGCACATGTTTCACTTGCCTCTTCGGGCGCGTTGATCACACCAATATCATACCCAAACTGGAAGGAACTCAGCACAGCAGTGAAGACAGTGAAAACCAAGGTTCCGGTGAGCTGTGGGGATGAAACACAGAGATGGGAACACCAGGCAATGCAGGGATCCTTGATCTCATCAGGCTGCCTCTTGGGCCACTTACAGACACCACCGGCTGGTTCTTCTCCCTTTATGTCCATCCCAGTATACTACCTGGGCTCCCAGCAGGCAGGTGCTGTTCATAGGAGAATGTGAGAGCCACTCATTGCTTCCCCTATTGAGATGAGATTGAAAAAGGTTTTTGGGACAAGTTGGGGGAGGCAAACATCCTTTGAAGACTCAAAATCAGAAATCAGAAATCAAATTGCTTCTGATAGAAGGAGACTGTCAAGATAGAAGCAGTTTTCTTGTCATTGGGAGAAATCATGTACAGGATCAGTAACAAAGAGATAGCAAGAATTCCTGGACATTGTCATGACACAAAAACACCTCCATGCTCTTATAAAAAGCATCAACCAGCCTTTATCACGAGATGCATCGATATCCAAGTAAGGAAACTTTCCAGGATTTTCTTCTAGTGGCATCTAGAGTTGAGAATTAAGGAGCATAATTTTGTCCCACCTCTGTGTAGCTATGATAAGACTTCAGAATATTCATCCTCTTCAACTCATAATTGCAAATTAACCATCTTAGAGAAAGCATATCATACACACAGAGTTGCATATGATATACAGTGCAGCATTTTGTGTGATAGCAAAAATTTTAGAAGGAACCTAAATGCCATTCAATAGAAAATGTTCAAATATCACAATACATATATATCACAATACATACATCAGATAGATCACAACACACTACGCAAAAGTTAAAAAGAATACTAATTGAATTACTTGTTTTTTTTTTTAAAGAGGCAAAGGAAATTGTTAATCTCATTTTTTAAGAAAATGGCTTGCACATGAATATTCTTTGATTTGTAGATGTTGTATATAATTCACAGAATAGTTTCTTGAAAAATAACAAAATTATTATCTTTGAGGAGGAATGTGAGGTTGGAGAAGGGAAGTAAAATAAAGTTTTATATTTTATTTGTATTATTAGACATTTTATGAGGAAAATGTTGCACATATAATTATGTGATTTGAATTTTTAAAGTAAAGACCATGGATATAATAGGCATTTTGTTGAATGAATGATTCATGCCAGCATGGATTTCAATTCCACTCTTTTAGCTAATATATATATATATATATATGATATATATATATATGATCCAAGCTGCTTACCCTATAGGAACTTTAGTTTTGTTCAAATTGTGGGATGCATGTAAATATCCCTACTGTGGTATAAAAAATAGCTAATTAACCAAGATCCCTTGTTCCTGCATCAAGCTGGAGATCAGAAATTTCAGTGTCATCATTAACAAAATAATCTCACGTAACCACTCTAAGAACGCTGGTAGTGATTTAGTCTGGTGGTTCCAAAACCAGACCTTCCTTAGAGAGCCTGTTGCACAGGTGGCTTCCTGGTGTTCCCCCAGACCTTCCACTGGATTGGGACCTCTGTGATGAGGAGTGGAAATCTGTAGGTTTACATAGCCCTTTCTCTTCTCACAGATGGCATCTGTGTAGATTTTTCCTTCCCAGTAACTTCCTTTCCCAAAATAAAGAATTGTAAAGCTGACCAATTTATATATATATATATAATAAATATTTATTTATTATATATAAATATTTATTATATATTTATATATACATATTTATAAGCATTATAATTAAGCATATATATCATATATAAGCATTACATATATAAGCATATATATATATATATATATAAACATGAGAGGAGGTCAGAGAATTTGTGGAAAAATGGATTTAAAAGATGAGTGTAGGGGCCGGTACCATGGCACAGTAGGGTAATCCTCTGCCTGCAGAGTCAGCATCCCATAAGGGTGCCGGTTCTAGTCCTGGCTGCTCCTCTTCCCATCCAGCTCTGTGCTGTGGACTGGGAAAGCAGTGGAGGATGGCCCAGGTGCTTGGGCCCTGCACCCACATGGGAGACCAGGAGGAGGCACCTGGCTCCTGGCTTCGGATTGGCGCAGCTCTAGGCTTTGCGGCCATTAGGGGAGTGAACCAACGAAGGAAGACCTTTCTCTCTGTCTCTCCCTCTCACTGTCTGTAATTCAAACTCTCAAATCAAATAAATAAAATCTTAAAAAAAAGACGAGTTTATTTTGGTGCAAAAAGTGTTGAAATCCAGGCATAGCTTTTTCATAATAAAAATTTTCCATGAACTTTATGAAGAACCCTCTTAATACAAAATATAACATATAATATATTTTCTAGAAATAACTAACATATTACATAAAATTGTATATATTTATTAGATGTAAATATATGTAAAATGTATCACTTTTAACTATTTGGTACCTGGTGTATGGGCTTATGAAAATTTTGAATTATCCTCTAAAATACAACTAGATACCTAAAACTCAGTGGTTCAGATAGCCAGTGCTAAGATGGAGTTCCGTTTACTTGGTTAGCGTGTTCTCCTCACATCCTTTTTCCTTTCAAGCTCTTTCCAAGGACAAGGAATTTCATCCTATTTTTGAGTAGGAATCAAATGAAGGGCGCCTTGGGAAAGCTTTGTTCCACTTCCCACGTGCTCTCTCCACCACCGTAGTGTGGACAGTCTAATGCAGAGCAGCAATGCAAACAGAGCTTCAAAGCCGAATCCTGCATATTCTTACTTCATGCATTGCCACTGCTCGATGTGGATTATCTCATTTACTTCTTATATGAGTTTTTTATTGCTGCCACCAACTCAGTGGCTTAAATGTTGCAAACTTATTGATCTTATAGTTCTATAGATCAGAAGTCCAATGTGAGCTTCACTGGACTAAAGTCAAGGTGTTGGCAGTCTGGGTTCCTTTCTGGTGGCTCTAGGAAAAAATTTGGATTGATAATTCAGTTTCAGCTCTTTACGGTTGTGGGAGCAAGGTCTGTGTTTTCGTTATGGCTGTAAGCTTAGGGCCATTCCCAGCTCTGGAGACTACCACACTCCTTGGCTAGTGGTGTCCTTCCATCTTCATAGCCAGCAATGGGAGGTCAAGTCCTTCTCATGTTGCATCTTTCTTGTGCCAACAACAGCTGAGAAGGTTCTTCCTTTTTGAAAATTGCATGGGATATTCGACCGATCTGGATAATCCAGGAAAATCTCTTCAAGTCAAGATAAATAAAGATTTATTTATCTTTTATATTATATATATTTATTTAATCACATCGCTAATGTCCTTTTTGCTTTGCCATGTAAGGTAACATATTCTCAGATTCTGGGACAAGGTTGTGAACATTTTTGGAGAAGAATTATTCTGCCTACCACATTCAGTGTAGCAATGCTATTAATATCTCCATTTTATAGATGACTAGATTGAGGTAAAGTATCTCAACTGGTAAATTACAGAGTAATGACTTGGATTCAGAGCCTGTTTTTAACTTCTTGATCATTTTTGCATTCTTTATAGGGCAGAAACAGATATTCAAAAATTAAGCACATCTGAAAATCTAGGATCATAATCTTTCTACATTTAGGGAAAAAACCCAAGAATGTAAATACCTAAGTTTTGCAGATGCTGAAGTTGAACCACCAACACCCACCAATCTCAAGTGCATTTTTCCATCACTCACCACACAAATCTGTCTTCCTCCCTCTCACCTACCCAGAGAAAACTTGTGAGGTCTCTGGACAAAAATCCAAACTGGCAGAAGCCACTCAACTGGTTATCCGTGGTTGAGTTGAAGAGGAACCCCAGGGCTGTCCCACCATCAAGCTAGGACCACAACACACTCACCCCATCTTATCCCTGCATCTTCTTTCTTCTGTGGCAGAGTCTCCAAGCAGCACTTGGCCTCTTAGTGACTGTCACCTCCTACTCCATCCCTGGGCTTCTTCTCTCCACTGGCTCTCTTCCTCTTGGCCTCCACCAGAGAAGCATATAGTTTCTTTCTTCTTATTTTAAGAGTCCAATCAGCAACCATGTCAATGGTGAGCAGAGACACCACAGAAAGGGAATTTGGGGATGAAGGTGGTGGCAGGAGCAGATTTGGTTCCCCGTAATCTCCATCAGCCTTCCTCCGTCACCCCAAACACACAGTCTAAGTCACAACTGTGTTAGGTGTTCCTACGTTACTTTGGTAAAAATGAAAGTTAATTTTAAAAGACAAGTGTTCTGGGCTTCCCACTCTATTCCTTTCCAGTGAGACTGTTGTGTGGCCTTACTGTGGAAATTCTGGCGCACTGACTGCTACGGCCATTTGGGGAGTGAACGAGTAAATGGAAGATAGCTCTTTTCTTTCTTTTTTTTTCTTTTTTTTTTGACAGGCAGAGTGGACAGTGAGAGAGAGAGACAGAGAGAAAGGTCTTCCTTTTGCCGTTGGTTCACCCTCCAATGGCCGCCGCGGCCGGCGCGCTGCGGCCGGCGCACCGTGCTGATCCCATGGCAGGAGCCAGGAGCCAGGTGCTTCCTCCTGGTCTCCCATGCGGGTGCAGGGCCCAAGCACTTGGGCCATCCTCCACTGCACTCCCTGGCCACAGCAGAGAGCTGGCCTGGAAGAGGGGCAACCAGGATAGAATCCGGCGCCCCGACCAGGACTAGAACCCGGTGTGCCGGCGCCGCTAGGCGGAGGATTAGCCTAGTGAGCCGCGGCGCCGGCCGATAGCTCTTTTCTCTCTCTCTCTCTCTCTCTCTCTCTCTCTCTCCCTCCCTCCCTCTCTCTCCCTCTCCTCCCTCTCTCTCCCTCTCCTCCCCTCCCACCTGTGTGTGTGTATGCACGTATCCCTGTCTCTGTAACTCTACCTTTTAAATAAATAAATAAATCTTTAAAAAAGAAACCTAGAAGAGTCCTAGCTAGACCTCTGACATCCCTGGGTCTTGATTTCTTTGCCTATAAAATGAGTATGGTGATAGTTAAAGCATATAATTATTTAGTAAAAATTAAATAAGCAACATGGTCTTCCTGTAAACAGTGAAAGGGCTTTAAAACAAATTTGTCTTTAAGCACATCATTATTTCTCATCACTGCTTACCAAATAACCATGTGTCAACTGTTCATACCTCTCTAATAATATTCACAGCAATACTACACAGATATAAAATTATACCCATTTTACAGGTGAGGAAACCAGTTTCATGGCACACCTAGTGCCACACAGCTAGGAAGTGACAGATGCTCTAGTATGGGACTTTGAACTGATGTTCTTTTTCAAAAAGATTATTTATTTCATTTATTTGAAAGGCAGCATGACAGAAATAGAGGGGATGAAAGACAGAGAGGGAGAGAGAGAGAGATCTTTGCTATCTGCTGATTCCCTCCCCAAATGACCACAAAAGCAGAGCTGGGCCAGGGTGCAGCCAGGAGCTCTATCTGGGAGTCCCTTGTGGGTAGCAGGGACCCAAGAATTACTTGGGGTTTTCCAGGCATATTAGCAGAAAGCTGGATTCAAAGCTGAGCAGCTGGAACTCAAACTGGCATTCTGATATGAGACACTGGCATGGCAAGCAGTAGCTTGGCCCAGAATACCACAATGCAGGTCCTTGAGCAGATGTTCTTAAGTCCTTTTTGCTAAACAAAAGAGATTTCTCAGCAAGGGTTGACTGACTAGGTTGGGAGGAAAAAATGATACCCTTTCCTCTAAAGCACATATTTCCAAAAGCCAAACCAAAGGTGATCTTGCAACCAACTTTGGAAAAGGCTAGTGGAATCTTTAGCTACAGAATATTCAAGCTGACCTTATAGAGCAATGGATTCTCATCTGATTGTTTGGTTTTCACTTGAAGAAACTGAGGTCCATGGTCCACATCCCTTGTCTGAGTTCTATACATGTTGTAGGTATAGTTAGGGTGACAACCCTGTCTCCTGAGCTTCAGTCTTCTGCTTATCCCAATTCTTTCGAAGTCTGGATAGACTCACAAAGGTGAAAAACTGCACTTTCCATTGGTTCTCATTCTTTCTGGGTTCCATTATTGGGCAAGTCTTTTCTTTTCTTTTCTTTTTTTGACAGGCAGAGTGGACAGTGAAAGAGAGAAAGGTCTTCCTTTTCCGTTGGTTCACTCCCCAGTGGCCTCTGCGGCCGGTGTACCGCACTGATCCGAAGCCAGGAGCCAGGTGCTTCTCCTGGTCTCCCATGCAGGTGCAGGGCCCAAGCATTTGGGCCATCCTCCACTGCACTCCCGGGCCACAGCAGAGAGCTGGACTGGAAGAGGAGCAACCGGAACAGAATCTGGCGCCCCGACCGGGACTAGAACCCCGTGTGCCGGCGCAACAGGTGGAGGATTAGCCTATTGAGCCGCGGCACGGCAAGTCTTTGTTTTTCAAGAACAGTTCTACAGGATAATTTTTAAAGCCCCTAAGAGAATTTGATGAGAGCTCTGAATGGCGCTTGAACAACTATGCCAGACTCTGTGTTGAGCACATTGCCTTTCCTTTTGCAGTGTCTTCCCAATGTTAGTTACCCAAATACAACCTTCATGATTTTTGCCAGCTCTACATACCATCTGTATAGTTATTAATTTAATATTCATACTTATATTGTATTTTAAGTTCTGTTTTAGCATTGTCCTGGGGTATAATGTTCATAAATCCATGCTGTTATTCTTTAAATATATATTATGTCCATGTGTAAGCATTAACATAAAATGTTTGCCATCTAATCCTCTTTAATATTATTTCATTTAGTTATCCCCAAACCCTAAAGTACTAGGATAATCCCTAAATAACCCCTAACATATCCCAGTATGTTCTTATTCTATCATAATATAGAAGCCCCACAGCTCAGTGAATAATTTAACCCGGCTTTCACAGTAGAAACCAGGTCCAAGCCTGGCTGAATCCAAAGCTTGTGCTCCCCAGCGCTTACTAACATGAAAGAACTTTTGGCAAACCACATTTGTCCAGGTCAGACTTAAAGGTGCTACTTAAACAGGGCACACATTCATCAACTTGTATTATTGTATACAGGAGTGAGTGAGTTTAGTTAAAGGAATAAAACTGTTATGTCCTTTTACAGTTTTTTATTTTGCAAAGTATCACATCTACAGAGAAGTTGAAATAACAGTGCAGTGAACACTCCATAACTGTATTCACCAATGGCTAACATTCACCACTTTGCTTAATTCTCATTCTCTGTGTGTGCCACTGTGTTTTGTTGACCATTTAAAAATAAGCTATGGATATCTGTGTCACTCACTCCTAAATACTTCAACATGCACTCCAAAGAACATCCTCCTACATAATTAGAATTACCACTATCACATCCAAGAATGCAACATTGCTATGCGAATATTGACTAGGCTGCATCCTATGTTCACAATTTCTCAACTGCTGGTCCATGTTGTCTGTTACAGCTGTTTCCTTCTTGTTTCACTTGTTGCATTTGGTTGTCAGTTCTTAGCCCCTTTTAATCTACAGCAGTCTTTCCGTCTCTCTGGTTTTTAATACACTGACATTTTTTAAGATTCCAGGTAAATTTTCATGATTAGATTCAGGTTAATCTGCCCATCTTTTTTGGGATGGGGCACATTCCTTCAGTAATATGGTTATGCAGCATCACTTGAAAACAAGTTACTCAGACTAGTGAGAAAAGACAACAAGAAATAGGTTTTTCTTCAGCCAAATGAGCTATCAGTTGACACATACAGAGAAGTGGTTTTGATCTGTGGTAGTTATACATAATGTCCCTCAAATCTCTACATATTCACTGACCCAAACAGATTAATTTCCTCAAAGCCAGATTCAAAAGGAACATAATGTTGAATTACCTTATCTTGTGCCATTGTGCGTCTTGGAAATCCTCCTTATTCCAGGTCCTGAACTGAGTGTGGCATATGCAGCTGAGGAGCCCCTGCCTGAGTGTTCGGAGCTCTGCCTAAACCTGGTTATATATTGTAGGAGGAGGAGCGAGGAGAGGGAGGAGTGCGGCTGCCATCAACTAGGAGTCGAAGTCCAATCAGCAGAGGCTGACTATTGATGGGAATCTAATCAATAAGTCCTTTGCCTACCCACTGTGGCTTCGATGTCTTTGTTCCACCAGAAAGGGAAATAGGAGGTCTCTTAGGCATTAAGTTACATACCAGAGGCAGTCACAGTTTAAGGCATGTCAGGGTGACAGTAACCAGGGACAGGTGAAACAAGAAAGCCATGGGCTCTTCTACAGAAAGTGAGATAGGCTGCCTTGCTGTGTCGCGTACAGAGAACCAGTAATGCGATGTATGTGTGTGTGTGTGTGTGTGTGTGTGTGTTTTAGAGCTGGGCTGTGTGGCCAGAGAATGTGCACTGGAATGGTTACCTGATTGAGCTTTGGAGAGTTACGGACTTGGATTTAAATCTCAGCATTTTGTCCAGGGCGGGAGTGCGGAGGGGAGGATGGATGATCTTAAGCAAGTGGCTAACTGTAACTTTTCTGCATACTGTTTTTTGTATTTTTATCTGATAAAATGGAAATAACAGAACACACACTTTATTGGGCAGATGAAATGAGACAATATATGAAAGTGTTTAGCATAAGTGCTCAGCAAATGGTGGTGGTTATTGTTATTACTGTTATTGTTAATGACTCCGTGTATGTCTAGGGACACTTGCAGGAGGTGTAGAGGACTCAAATGAATCTGCTTCGTGTGGCTTGAGCCTGTGCCCTTCCTGGTATCCTCCATCATAGCCGATCCCTGTGGAGGTCCAGAAGACACCAAAACTGAGCTTTAACCCTGCCTGCCGGGCGAGCAGTCTAACTGGTTCCTCCGAAGCTCAAAAGGAACCAGTTCGCAGCAGAGAGAATGTTAACAGACAGCAGCAAAATCCAAGGTTCTCTGAAGAATGCAAGGAGCAGAAAGTGAAGGGGCAAAGGAGACTCAGGCTTCATTTGTCTTTGATTTTGCCACCCTCTTTTCTCTTCTTTCACTTTTGCCAGGTAACACACCTGCAGAGTTGGTTTGGGAAGCTGAATTATTTAACCCTAACCACACACTCGTATTGAGCCCAGCACAGTTCCACGCTCCGAAATGCATGATAGCCCCCTCCTGCGGAGTGTGTCTGATGTACAGCGTGCGGCATGGGTAAACCCACACACACAACGCTATCATTTCTCACTGGAAAAGCAGGAACGAATGTTAATAGTTATCAGCAGTCACTTAGGTACAGCGGTCTTGCTCCGTCCCAGGATAAACTTGTTTAATCAGAGCACGAGGCTCCGAGGTCGCAGAGCCAGGCTCCGAGGAGCCGCTCGGAGACCCGGTTGTAAAGCGCCGGGAGCCGCCGTCTGCCGCTCCCCAGCGTGGAGCGGTCCGCAAGCCCGGTGGGCGCGGCCCGTGCAGCTCTGTCCCAGGGACGGGGTTCTCTGCTGGAGACTCCCGGTGCCTCCGTCAGGAATGCCAACTTCTCCTGGGCTGTTCACCAACCTTTGTCTTTTGAACCCTTGCTTTTAGGAAAAGGAATTTGCTTCGAGAGTGGCTGAGGCCGGTGAGACTTTAACTTCTGGAGCCCACGCCCCTCTCCTCTTCCATTGGAAGCGCCAGCTGCCACTCACTGAGCGGGACCAGCTGACTCTGGCTTAGTCCAGACCGTTCTTGTTTTACGTGTTGCTCAGAAAGGAGTCACGTCTGCAGCGCGTGGAAGTGGGCTGGAACTCTGTGTCCCGGCGTTGGGTGGGGAGGACTGAATCACGTTGACCGCACTGATTGCTTTCACCCGGGAGCTCTGGTCATCGAGTTCAGGGTCTCCGAATGGGTGGCCCGTGCGCTGGCCCCGTTATTACACGGGTGTCTTGGACAGTCTTGGCTGTGGGGTCAGGGAGAGCTTTTCCTGCTTTGTTGTTAGGTGGCAGCGACACAGTGCGGTGGCCCAGTGCCCAGAATCACCCACGGATCCCCGCTGGGGGCGGTGAACCCGGCTCTGGGTGACTGTTCTGGCTTCCCGCTTCAAACTCTTCACATCGCACTTGAGCGCTTCCCTTACTGATTGTAGTAGATTGTAGTAGTGCCTAGTGGTGCCAGGACAGAAGAGAGACCCTTTATTATGCTGTTTCCCCTTAATACCCTTCCCGTCAGTAAAACGAGAGTGACTTTTTTCTATAAATGGGAGGTAAGGACATCAGCTTTCTCAGCATCCTGCCTTCTCTGGTAGGGTCAGCTATAGGTAAGTGCAAGGGCAACATGATTTTCATTTGTTTGTTTGGAAAGGCAAAGAGACTGACAGGCTAGAACCTTCCACCCACTGGTTTATGCCCCACATGCTCTCTATGGCCCAGGCCCAAGCCAGTAGCCCAGAACTCAATCCAGGTCTCCCACAAGAGTGGCAGGCACCCTGGTACTTGAGCCATCATTTGCTGTCTCCTGGGGTAGGCATTAGCAGGAAATTGCATTAAAGTTAAGGAGTTTGGGGCCAGTACTGTGGCACCTTCTGTGCTGGCATCCCATATGGGCACCGGTTCAAATCCTGGCTGCTCCACTTCTGATTCTGCTCTCTGCTTTGCCTAGGAAAGCAGTGGAGGATGGTCCAAGTCCTTGGGCCCCTGCACCCCTGCGGGAAAGACCCGGAGGAATCACCTGGCTCCTGGCTTGGGATCGGCACAGCTCTAGCCGTTGTGGCCAACTGGGGGCTGATCCAGTGGATGGAAGACCTTTCTCTCTCTCTCTGCCTCTCCTTCTCTCTCTGTGTAACTCTGACTTGCAAATAAGTAAATAAATCTTAAAAAAAAAAAAAGTTGAGGAGTCGGGACTTGAACTAGGCTACTCTTAGATGGGGTACCAGAGTCTCAAGTTGGGAAGTAATTAGTACACCAAATGCCTGCTCCTGATTTTGATTTTAATTTGCATTTTTAATGGCCAAGGATACTGAACATTTGCTTATTTGACATCTATATATCTTATTTGGTGAAATGTGTTTAATATCTTTTGTTAATATTCTAGTTGGATTTTTGTTGGTGATAATATTTAGTGTTTGTGTGCACTTTTGAGTTTTTTTTTTTTACTTTTGAGTTTTAATAGTTCTTAATATAACTTAGAGTAGTCTTTTGTTGGTTATACAGCTGGCAAATATTTTCTCACACTATACAGCTTGTCTTTCATCCTCTTACTAGGGATCTTTCATGGAGCAAAAGATTTTAGTTTTGATGAAGTCTAATTCATTAATTTTTCTTTTTACAGATTTTACTTTTGGTGTTAATTCTGAGAACTCTTTGCCTAATCCTAGTTCATGGAGATTTTCTGTTATTTTTTACTAAAAAGTAGTTTTATCTATTCTGTTTAAGAGAATCTGTTGTACTTTTTGTATCAGTGTGAGACTTCAGTTTAGGTTCATTTTTCCCTATGGATGTCCAGTTGTTCCATGTGGGTTATTTTTCCTGTACTGAAGTCTCTCTGCTCTTCTGTCAAAATTGGTTGGGCATATTTATATGGGTCTGTTTCTGAGTTCTCTGTTCTTTCTTTCTTTCTTTTTTTTTTTTTTTAAAAAGCTCTATTTATTTATTTGAAAGGTGGAATTACAGAGAAGCAGAGGCAGAGAAAGAGAGAGGTCTTCCATCTGTTGGTTCACTCCCCAGATGGCTGCAATGGCCGGAGCTGCACTGATTCAAAGTCAGGAGCCAGGAGCTTCGTCCAGGTCTCCCATGAGGGTTCAGAGGCCTAAGGACTTGGGCCATCTTCTACTGCTTTCCCAGGCCATAGCAGAGAGCTGGATCAGAAGTCGAACAGCTGGAACTCGAACTGGCACCCATGTGGGATGCCGGCACTGCAGGCAGCAGCTTTATCCTCTATACCACAGTGCCAGCCCCTGTTCTTTACCATTTATCTATGTGTCTGTCCTTCAACCAATACCACAATCTTAATTATTTTAACTATATATAATAAGTCTTGAAATTAGTAGACTTGATCCTCCCACTTTATTATTATGTATGAAAATTTTAGTTTGTTTGCCTTTCTGTATAAATTTTGGAATAAATTTGCCTATATCTGTAAGACATGATGGGATTTTGGTAGGAATTGGATTAAACCTGTATATGAATTTGGGAGAGAATTGACTTACATATTTTGAGTCTTCCAATCTATGAATATGTTATTCATTTATTTAGATTTTCTATCATTTTTTGATCAATGTTTCTAAAGTGTCAGCATACCAGATATTATACATGTTTTTTCAAGTTTGCACTTAACTCTTGTTTTTATTAGGGATTATAAATGGTGGTGTATTTTAAATTTTGATATCCATGTATTCATTGCTGGGTATGGACGTATATTTGATTTTTTGTATATTAATTGTATACACTGAAACCTTGCTAAACTCACTTATTCTTAGAGTTTTTGATAGATTCCTTGGGGTTTTCTTTTATGCATTCATTATTATTTATTTATTTATTTGAAAGAGAGTGAGAGAACCTCCATCTGCAGATTCACTCTCCAAATGACTGCAACAATCAGGGCTGGGCCAGGGGGAAGCAAAGAGCCTAGAACTCTCTTAGAATCTCCCACAAGGGTGGCAGAAACTCAAATGCTTGGGCCATCAACCACTGCCCTCCCAGGTGCATCAGCAGGAAGCTGGATCAGAAGCAATCTTAGCTCTAATTTGGGATGAGAGAGTTCCAAATGGTAGTTCAAACCACACTGCCAAAATGCCTGCCCCCCTGCACCACCCCCACTCCAGATTTACAATCAAGGGATCAAAAATAGAGTTTTGTTTGTTTCTTTCTGGTTTATATAATTTTTATTTCCTTTTATTGCCTTATGACACTGATCACAACTTCTAGCACTGTGTTGAGGATTAGTGATGAGAGTGGACATTTTTGCCTTATTTGCAGTCTTAAGGGGAAAGCTTTAGTCTTTGAAAATGAAATAAAATGTTGAAAGTTTTCTGTAGATGTTCTATTTTTAAATCTGGAGAGTCAAGCAGCAAATAAAAGTTTTCTC